TCGGCGTATCCAAGCTTCTGGGGATTTGTGACGAAAAACGATTGGGACAATGCGATAAAAGAATTGAGAAATTTTTACAAGAATCCGAACGAGCAAGCTAGAGGAGATTTGAAAAGAAGAAACAACGAAGCGGACATAATTGAAGCAACTCTTTTGAAATGCAACCGCTCTGTTGACGTTGTTTTCTTGATAGACGAGTCTGGCAGTGTTGGAAGAACAAACTTTCAAGAATGCCTCGATTTTGTAAAGAACATGACAAAAGCATTTCCCGATCATAAACTCAGCGGAAAAGATGGCACCAGATTCGGTTTGTCCACATTCAGTTCCGGCTACAGATCACATTTCTATTTATCAAACTACACAAATCAGTCAGCCTACCTTTCCGCAATTAGTCGAGTTTCCTACTCCGGTGGAGGTACCCAACTTGGTCGAGCTCTACAACACATCTTAACCGATCAATTCACCGAAGAACGAGGTCTGCGTCCAGAGGTAGATGGCGTACCTCGTGTTTTGATTGTTCTAACGGACGGTCAATCGTTCGACGCTGTTTCAACTCCAGCAAAAAATGTAAAAGATGAAAATATCGTTGTTTATGCAATTGGAGTCGGCGGGTATAATCTTGGACAACTTGAAGACATTGCCACTTCTAAATCACACGTTCACACACTGTCTACTTTTACCGATCTTGACATATTTATTTCCACGCTAACGGCGTCAACATGCTATGAACCCCGTTCTGCGCCTCTTAACGGGACAATAATAACAAATGTAGCAGAGGATGCTTATCAGTATTTCAGTTACAAAGTGAAGCCATCTTCAAACCTCGAGATCAATGTGGTCGATTTATCTGGTAGCACGATTGTTTACGTCTCTCGGACTAATCCTCACCCTTACAAGTACGACTACGACATTGTCTACGACCTTTCAACCCAAACGAACAAAATCATCGTCATTTCGCCCATTATACCTGTACCAAATACAAAGGTGAAACGGTCAGCCGACGAAGAGCTCACACGACAAATCTATGTCTCGGTAACTTCCGACACCAACTCGGCTTCGTTCAAGATTGAAGGCAAAGAATGCAATCCCTTGAACTGTACGGAGGGAACAAATCAAATGCCCACCACTCAACCTCCCACCACTCACCTTCCTACAACTACCGCTACTGCTACAGCAACTGCTACAAAAACGACATCCGCAGCTTGTGTTGTTTTCGCTACAAAGTTCGTCGTGGTAAGTTTTGTGATGTTGATGATCCTTTTTGAAATATACGACATTTGAACATTGTCTCGTTTGTTATTTAAGATACAAACAGGCGAGGACCTTTCTTTATTTTCATATTTCTTAGTTGTAAACATTATATAATCAATGAACATTGCTCGTATATTAATTTCAAGTACTTTCATAACGCTACTTTCCAAGTTAAGTGTGTGCGCACGGAAAAGTTGAAATCCATATAAATGTTAGTACTAGTTGTGAAATAACTTAATGAATAAAAAGTCAGTATTTGATTTTCTCTATGATTTAATGCGGATTTAAATAATCAATTTAAGCAAAGCTATAAATTGCGGTTAATGGAGTAATATGTTCTGAAAACTCTATCTGCCCGAGGGTGTTTTCAATCTGCCAACGCATCTGCGTCACAACAATTAATCCGTACCAGGTACGTACAAGGTCCAAGTACCTTGGCAAAACAAAGGAACCGTTTTCTAGCCCTGTTAATATTACAAAATATCTGATAAATATCGAACTTTGGCTGCTAAGCATGTGAACAACTGATGCAAACTTGGGATTAACCAATCAGAAATTATCCTGAAGGTTTTTTCCTT